TTTTTTTTTTTATTATGTACATTTTTTTTTATACATTACACAAAAACCAATGGTTTATATTAATTTAACCGAAAAAAAAAAATCATCCTATTTTATTTATATGTGTATGTCTCCCTTTTCATGAAATTATAATATATTTGTGTTTTTGTGTCACCTGTGTTACTGCTACATAGCAGTTATCACGTCACGCTTTTTTTTACATGTAATGACTAATGAGTTATATGTATACAAGTAACTCTACAGGAAAATAATCACATGGGTATGTTTTTCATGGCAATTTAAATATTTACTCATTTATGTGTAACCATTAATAAATTCTTTGATAACTATATAAAGTAAATTATGTGATAAAACTGAAAAGTATTTTAATTTTTAAAATAAAAAAAATATATATATTATTATTATTGTTTGTGTTCCGTTTCTCACCTGTTCTTTGAGCAAGCAGCTTTGTTTATTACCTGCCAATCAAAATTCTCAAATAATTAAAATAGGACCAAAATAAAAATCACTGTAAAAAAGCTATAACATTTTAGTAATGAGGTTTAACATAAATAAATTTGATTTTGTATACAAGTTTTTAATATAAATAATCGGATAATACTTTGACGTTAGGAACTTTAAAGAATATTTTTTTTTTTTTTTTGTTGTGTTATCATTATTTTTCTTTCAACAATTTAGTATACGGAGAAAAGCTTTTCTTTTTAATAATTTATTTTTTTTCCCGCCTGTTCCTTTATCTCACTCGGTGATATTCACAAATTTACCATATATATCATTTTATATAATACATATATATTATATATATATATATTATTTTTGTAGTTTTGTCACCTATTAAAAAAAAAAATATTTCAAAATGGATTCCAAAATAAATAATGATATTGATTCATCTTCCTCCGACTCCACATCAAAACCTTCCACGACCTCGATAAGAACCAATAATAAACAAAAGGTTCCATTCACATTAAAATATCAATTAAATATTCGTAAGAATTCAAATGATTCATCCTCTACCGTTAATTCCCCTCTTCCAATTGGCGCACAAAGTGGACTGCTTGCAGACCTAACTTTTGATCAGGATAAAGGACAGTTTTTGTGGGCAACCGAAGGCTACCAACAGGTAAATATATATATACGTATATATATATATTTTAAAAACTTGAATAATAAATTTATTTTCTTTATAGAATTTAAAGAAAAGACGTGTGACAAATAATTCAAACACCGGTGGTAATTCATCACCAAAACCTTATGATATGTGTAAAGTTCCAAGACCACCTAACGCGTTCATTATATATCACAGAAATAAATCTAAGGAGTTGGCAAAATTTAAGTCTAATGGAAAAAGTGAATCCAATGAACGTCATCCATCAAAAACAGTTGCAGAAATGTGGAAAGAAGAGCCCGCTGAGATTAAATTACAATATCAAAGAGAAGCAGATTTGGCCCTTGTAGAACATAAAAAGAAATATCCTTTTTATAAATATAAACCTAAAAAGAAGGATGGTAAAAATAAATCAAAATCCCAACAAGTTAATAATAAAACTTCAAAAAATAAAAAATCATCATCAATAAAATCTTCAAATGACAATAAAGATAATAAGAAAGAAATAAGTAATGAAGATGATGATTCTCAAGTTCCTATAGAACATAGAAAGCAAGCGGCCATGGAATCTGCTTTTACCGTATTTGATTTAGATACTCCAAAGGAAAATAGTAATAATAATAATAATAATAATTCTCCACATAGTCCAACGAACAATATTACCATGTCAAATCCACAAGTTATGACCCCAATTTGGACTGATTATGATAAACAATTTTTTGATAGTCCAATTAACGAACGATTAAATTACTCTCCTTTACAATTACCTTCACCACAACCACAATCACAATCACAACAACAACAACCACCACCACCATCATGTCAATGTACAACCCATTGTGTAAATAACAACAACAATAATAATAATGGTGTTGCAAGTATTGCATCCGTTACAACAGCTTTAGAAACATTATCTTCAGAGCAATGGAACGCGGTATCTGAAATATTTAGTAATGTACTGGAATGTATGGGGGTAATGCCTCACTGTAATAATCCGACAACCCCAATAGAAGCAACACCAACTTCAATAGCGCCTATATCAGGTATGTCAGGAATTGCACCCTCAGGAATGTCCCAAAACTCAATAGCCGGAATTGATATTACAACACCAACAACAACATTGGATAATATGATGATGACAACTTTTAATACTACAGATTATTTTCAAATTACTGCGCATGACTGGAATGATATGGATATTGATGATATGGGTGACATAGCAACAAACTACGTTGTACCCTCACAATCAGCTTCGGAATCTGTTCCCCCGCCAACGCCAACCAGTCCAACTGATTATTTGTCTTGGGCTACATCTACACATCAATCAATAGATTCTCAATTTGCTGTTGCTGATCCAATAACCAATGTTACTGAACAATTTTCACAAATAAATCAAGCAACCAATAGTGATTTATTTACTTCAGCAGATAGCGATAATATTTGTACTTTATTTAATTCAGATTTTGATAGCGATTTTAATTTTACATTATAATAGTAATAATTATAATAAATTAATATATACCTAAAAATAAAAAAAAAAATAAAAATTTAAATAACAACACAAATATACAAATATAATTTTTTTTTCTTATTCTCTTTCTATATTTTCTTTCTTTTCTTTTTTTTTAATTAAATTATATATACATAATATTTCTCTTTTTTTTTTTTAATTTCATTCTATTTATTTTATTTATTCATTTTTTTTGTACATTTTCTTTTT